GGGGAGATGCTTGAAAGAAAGAAGCCCGAGGAGTCGCTATGTGAGTCGTAGAAACTGGCGTTGATCGGCGCCGTAACTCTTGTAGTCTCGGCACCGTAACTCTTGTAGTCTCGGCACCGTAACTCTTGTAGTCTCGGCACTGTAACTCTTGTAGTCTCGGCACCGTAACTCTTGTAGTCTCGGCACCGTAACTCTTGTAGTCTCGGCACCGTAACTCTTGTAGTCTCGGCACCGTAACTCTTGTAGTCTCGGCCTCTTGTAGTCTCGGCACCGTAACTCTTGTAGTCTCGGCCTCTTGTAGTCTCGGCACCGTAACTCTTGTAGTCTCGGCCTCTTGTAGTCTCGGCACCGTAACTCTTGTAGTCCCGGCACCGTAACTCTTGTAGTCTCGGCACCGTAACTCTTGTAGTCTCGGCACCGTAACTCTTGTAGTCTCGGCACCGTAACTCTTGTAGTCTCGGCACCGTAACTCTTGTAGTCTCGGCACCGTAACTCTTGTAGTCTCGGCACCGTAACTCTTGTAGTCTCGGCACCGTAACTCTTGTAGTCTCGGCACCGTAACTCTTGTAGTCTCGGCACCGTAACTCTTGTAGTCTCGGCACCGTAACTCTTGTAGTCTCGGCACCGTAACTCTTGTAGTCTCGGCACCGTAACCCTTGTAGTCTCGGCACCGTAACTCTTGTAGTCTCGGCACCGTAACTCTTGTAGTCTCGGCACCGTAACTCTTGTAGTCTCGGCACCGTAACTCTTGTAGTCTCGGCACCGTAACTCTTGTAGTGTCGGCACCGTAACTCTTGTAGTCTCGGCCTCTTGTAGTCTCGGCACCGTAACTCTTGCAGTCTCGGCCTCTTGTAGTCTCGGCACCGTAACTCTTGTAGTCTCGGCCTCTTGTAGTCTCGGCACCGTAACTCTTGTAGTCTCGGCACCGTAACTCTTGTAGTCTCGGCACCGTAACTCTTGTAGTCTCGGCACCGTAACTCTTGTAGTGTCGGCACCGTAACTCTTGTAGTCTCGGCCTCTTGTAGTCTCGGCACCGTAACTCTTGTAGTCTCGGCACCGTAACTCTTGTAGTCTCGGCACCGTAACTCTTGTAGTCTCGGCACCGTAACTCTTGTAGTCTCGGCACCGTAACTCTTGTAGTCTCGGCACCGTAACTCTTGTAGTCTCGGCACCGTAACTCTTGTAGTGTCGGCACCGTAACTCTTGTAGTCTCGGCCTCTTGTAGTCTCGGCACCGTAACTCTTGTAGTCTCGGCCTCTTGTAGTCTCGGCACCGTAACTCTTGTAGTCTCGGCACCGTAACTCTTGTAGTCTCGGCACCGTAACCCTTGTAGTCTCGGCACCGTAACCCTTGTAGTCTCGGCACCGTAACTCTTGTAGTCTCGGCACCGTAACTCTTGTAGTCTCGGCACCGTAACTCTTGTAGTCTCGGCACCGTAACTCTTGTAGTCTCGGCACCGTAACTCTTGTAGTCTCGGCACCGTAACTCTTGTAGTCTCGGCACCGTAACTCTTGTAGTCTCGGCACCGTAACTCTTGTAGTCTCGGCACCGTAACCCTTGTAGTCTCGGCACCGTAACCCTTGTAGTCTCGGCACCGTAACTCTTGTAGTCTCGGCACCGTAACTCTTGTAGTCTCGGCACCGTAACCCTTGTAGTCTCGGCACCGTAACTCTTGTAGTCTCGGCACCGTAACTCTTGTAGTCTCGGCACCGTAACTCTTGTAGTCTCGGCACCGTAACTCTTGTAGTCTCGGCCTCTTGTAGTCTCGGCACCGTAACTCTTGTAGTCTCGGCACCGTAACCCTTGTAGTCTCGGCACCGTAACTCTTGTAGTCTCGGCACCGTAACTCTTGTAGTCTCGGCACCGTAACTCTTGTAGTCTCGGCACCGTAACTCTTGTAGTCTCGGCACCGTAACTCTTGTAGTCTCGGCACCGTAACTCTTGTAGTCTCGGCCTCTTGTAGTCTCGGCACCGTAACTCTTGTAGTCTCGGCACCGTAACTCTTGTAGTCTCGGCACCGTAACTCTTGTAGTCCCGGAACGTAACTCTTGTAGTCTCGGCCTCTTGTAGTCTCGGCACCGTAACTCTTGTAGTCTCGGCACCGTAACCCTTGTAGTCTCGGCACCGTAACTCTTGTAGTCTCGGCACCGTAACCCTTGTAGTCTCGGCACCGTAACTCTTGTAGTCCCGGCACCGTAACCCTTGTAGTCTCGGCACCGTAACTCTTATAGTCTCGGCACCGTAACCCTTGTAGTCTCGGCACCGTAACTCTTGTAGTCTCGGCACCGTAACCCTTGTAGTCTCGGCACCGTAACTCTTGTAGTCCCGGCACCGTAACCCTTGTAGTCTCGGCACCGTAACTCTTGTAGTCTCGGCACCGTAACTCTTGTAGTCTCGGCACCGTAACTCTTGTAGTCTCGGCACCGTAACTCTTGTAGTCTCGGCACCGTAACTCTTGTAGTCTCGGCCTCTTGTAGTCTCGGCCCCTTGTAGTCTCGGCACCGTAACTCTTGTAGTCTCGGCACCGTATCCCTTGTAGTCTCGGCCTCTTGTAGTCTCGGCACCGTAACTCTTGTAGTCTCGGCACCGTAACTCTTGTAGTCTCGGCCTCTTGTAGTCTCGGCACCGTAACTCTTGTAGTCTCGGCCTCTTGTAGTCTCGGCACCGTAACTCTTGTAGTCTCGGCACCGTAACTCTTGTAGTCTCGGCACCGTAACTCTTGTAGTCTTGGCACCGTAACCCTTGTAGTCTGTAATTGGGGGAGCTCAAAAAAGAAATTACTTGAGATATTTATGTGGGGTGGGGGTGGGGAGTCGGTCGAGACAGTTGTTTGCTGTGTTGCATGACTCGTGCTGTCATCTTATCATCATCCTTCCATCCTTCTCCCACACATTTCTCTATAACATCACACAAACAATACAAAATGTCACCTAAACATCCCGTTATCCTCCTAAATTACAAACAACAAACCCAACATGGACAAAATCTGACACGGCAAAGGCTTGCAATAGATAAGCGGAGACGGCATCATTTCAGTTGTGTGTAGTGCGTTTGTGTGACGTCATCTTTTCAGTTGTGTGTAGCGCGTTTGTGTGACGTCATCATTTCAGTTGTGTGTAGCGCGTTTGTGTGACGTCATCATTTCAGTTGTGTGTAGCGCGTTTGTGTGACGTCATTATTTCAGTTGTGTGTAGCGCGTTTGTGTGACGTCATTATTTCAGTTGTGTGTACCGTGTTTGTGTGACGTCATTATTTCAATTGTGTGTACCGTGTTTGTGTGACGTCATTATTTCAGTTGTGTGTACCGTGTTTGTGTTCGGCGTGTTCCTGACCTACAACAAGACTCCCCTCATCATGGCCTCTGGCCGAGAGCTCTGCTACATCCTGCTGTTCGGCATCGCCCTGTCGTACTGCACATCTGTGGCCATGTTGGCCCGACCCACCCCCCTGACCTGCGCCATACGACGGCTGGGGCTCGGCGTCTCGCTCTGCTTTGTCTACGCTGCCATCCTAACTAAAACAAATCGCATCTTCAGGTGAGTCTCAAGCTGGATCAGGTATGACATGTCATAAGAAGTCCAAAACAAACACATGGAAAGTAACACAAACATGCACCTGATTCTATCCCCAGAATATTTTCTGTCGGCATCAAGGCCATGGTCAAACGGCCAAGTTACACAAGCCCCAAGTCCCAGATTTTTATCTGCTCAGCTCTCGTCTCTGTCCAGGTCAGTTCTCGTCTCTGTCCAGGTTAGTTCTTGTCTCTGTCCAGGTCAGTTCTCGTCTCTGTCCAGGTTAGTTCTTGTCTCTGTCCAGGTCAGTTCTCGTCTCTGTCCACGTCAGTTCTTGTCTCTGTCCATGTCAGTTCTTGCTTCATTTGTTTCCAGTTCTAAATTAGGTCAATGATTGGGTCCTGCTGATCTAAGTCGACATTTTTGGTCCAATAATCCTTATCAAGGTGAATCCTTATGTAAAATTGGGTCATTGAATGGAGGACAGGAAAACTAATCCCAGACAAAATTTCTCAAGATCCCAAGCAAAAATATTTATAGTATATAGGTTGATTTTAGTCGATTGGAATATTACTAGGGGTGTCAAAATGATTTTTTAAAACCGTCCCGGAGCTTGTTTGCAAGTTGCTATGTGAAGAACACGCAATTCTAAGATAGTGGGTACTAAATGTGTTCATAATCTCAAGTAATAATAATCCGGGAGTGATCTCCCCTAAACTTTCTCGAATATTCTTATATAAAACAACGTGAAGGGAACTCCATCTTAAATACTTAAAGTTTTTAAAATAGAATAAAATCTCGTAGAAAAAAGAATTGCACACCAAGTGTACGCCAAATTAAATGTGCATAATAGTGCGCAATATTATTAGTACTTAGTATAAATTTACATGCGTTTTTTTTTTTAGAAATCGGAAAAAGCGTAACAGAAATCGCTCAAAAGTTGATAAGGATCTACGATTTTGATAAAATACTTATATATGAAATTACCTCAACCTAGCTGTAACGGTACTCAAGTTATCGTGTTTACACACACACACACACACACACACACACACACACACACAGACACACACAGACACACAGGCATACGGACAAGATTGCAAAATTATGTTTTTCCGTATCGGTGAGGTGTAAAACATCGAGATTTTTACAAATCTCGATTTTTTTTTGCACGATTACAAGACTTTCTCTATACTTCGTATATACGAGAAAGTAAATAAGTTATGACGTTTTAAAAAAAAATGATTTTTAACTTTTTTACAGCACCCTAAAAAGTGCCATGTTTGGGAGATTATATCTGTAAAAGTATATGTCACAAACACAATCTTTTGAACTCAACAGAGAGAACAGACTCAATTTTTTTCAAACCTCAAAAAATAAGTACATCATTTAAATTAATTGCATTCAAATTGTCTTTTCTCTTTTTAAAAAATTTAAAAAGGGAGGTAAAAACAAAATTTTTGTACATTTTTAAAACATCACAAAAAATGTCTGATGAAAGAACATACTTGATAAGTATATCGAAATGTAAAGGGACAACGCTTATTTGAATTTAAGTTACATGTATGCCTATAACAAGTACGTTTGAAACATACGTTTGATCAGAAGAGTGCAGGGGTTCACAATCTGTCGAAAATGCGTTTTTTTTTTAAATCACACAAAATAAATTATGACACCTACAGTAGATCTGGCGATATCAAAATAAAGAATAACCATAGCAATATGGGGTTTGAAAAGTGCTAGGGTCACATACAAATATTTTTTATCGAAATAATTATTAGTCTCTAGAAACAGTTTTGCATTTAAAAGTAACAACATTTATTTAGAATGCCACAGTCGGTGTACCTATATATTATAAATATATTATATTTATATAAAGCTGGTTCTACAATTATTGCGATATGGTAGGACTACACCAAAATACACTTGATTATTAAATACAACTACGTAGGCTAAATAGATAACGATGCTAGTCTTGAACTCTCACCCTTAGTTACTTAACAGTTGCTTTTCACAACTACAACATAAAAATATGTAATCAATTATCACGGTCAACATAGGGTTTTTTCGTAGACATATTCTTTTTAAACGGCTTTAAAAAGGGTTCATTTTCAAGCTGACTGCTAAGTGCAAATACATCTGCACTCGTGCACTGATTATTAGTATATTATATATGCACATTGTTTTTTACAACTGTAATAATAATTGCGCTTACCCCCCCCCCTCCCCCCTTTTCTATCCCAGGTGGGTGTTGGAGGCATTAACATAATATCTCGCCTAGATCTAGTTAAAGTTGAAATTATTCACGTAAGATAATTATACCGTTGAAGAACATACTAACACGCTCAATTGTCGAATTTTTTGGTAATGTAAAATTTTTCACTTTAGTATCTATTGGATACTTTTACTAATATTTAGGAAGATATCCACGTTTTTGTTTTTTTGGGCATCCAATTAAGTCAAATTTAATGTCATGTTGCGTTGTCTTCGTGTTTTAACCTACGTACCAACTACGAACCGTATCTGTCAGTGATAAGTGCCCGTAATTTCGCTCGGGCGTTTCGATCTAGACTGACGACAGACAGACAGAGACAGTGAGTTAAATAAAAGCTTTTCTCTGTTATTGAAATAGTAGTGTATAATTTATTTTCTACTTTTTAGTGCATTATTACATAAAAGCTTTTTATTAAAATGTTGTTTTTTTTTAAATTTCAGTACTTTAAATTTTTTAAATTTACAATAGAGTTAAATGACTAAAAACATTGCGTATTTAATAAACATGATGACGCGTGACTAATAGTGCGGAATAGTTTGATAAGATACAGGGGCGGAACTACAGTGCCGCCAGACCCCGCGATGCGCGGGGGGTGGGGGGGGGGCAGGCGGTTTAGGGGCCCACGGTTGACCATAATTAATATCTTTTTAAAATTTTGAATTTAATTTTCGTGCATTGCTGACTTGATTTTTGGTTTGTAAAAGAAAAACACGGTTGCTGCGGTACGATTATCTTTATTTTACAGTCACTATACCACGCTCTTCCGCAAAAAATAAAATCCATTACACTAACTACAGTGTAAAATATACGCAACTCTTTAAATTTGAATGACTTCTTTGACTCGTTGCCCCCCCCCCCCCCCCTTTGATAGCTAAATAGTGGACACGTAACTGTTTGACCGATCTTCCAAAAGTGTACTGTGGCGGATGGGGCAGGGGATGGGGACCAAAAAGGTGGCTCAATAAATTGTCGTCAAATTTTTAATACATTTAAAAAAGTTATTTATAGTTGTATTTTTTAACCATCGCCAAGGCCGAGTTCTATTTCCCTACAATCAAACACGCCGTCGCCGGCAAAATTCTTTTTAAAAAACAACAAAGTCCATAGCACGAAAAGCCGCTACATATGAAGTGGGCTTTCATGATGCGCGGTTATTCTGTGCGGCATTAGTTAGGGACCCGAAATCCATTGTACATTTTTCAATGTTAATGTGTTTGTGATAGTGGTTGAATTTGTATCCTGTACTATCTTGTGTCCTACAAATAATAAAAAATAATAAAATACTAGAAACTTCAGTTTTATATACGTTTACTTGTTTTTGCTTTTACAAGAAATATCACAGTAAACATTTAAGGCCTATACTTGGAATTATCTCCCCTGAGTAAGTTTTTCAAGGAGCGATGCTGACGTACATATGCGTTTTGTTGTCTCTTTCAAGTTTTTTCCCGAGCCGACCCCTATCCCATCCCTCTTCTTAGCCTCGCAAGTATCGAATAGATCAATGTATCGTTTATGAACTACTTCCTAACCGTGCGATTCACCACTTCAGCACATTTTGTCAGACACTAGACAGCACTAGTCAACAGATATTAATTTACTTTCATAGTATTAGGCACATCTAATTCACAAAACAGGGAAGGTAGGATTATTTTTTACATAATTATTTAGAAATTAATTAGAACGTTTAGAATTAATTGAACATTATTAATAGTCAATCAATTACAATGACGTCATTGAGATGGGGGTGTGTGAGGGTGTGGCTTTTTGTTAGTCGTTAAAAAATGTGACATCATTTGCAGATTCCCCCTCCCCCCCTAAATCAGAAGGTTATCCCACGCGTGAGCTGGTCACATACGGTTGTACCACTGAAAAACATTTTTCTGTCTATTATGCTTTACTGCATCATTCACCCAATCGCCATGAAAACTTCGGAAGCTGTAGAGTACAGCCCCACAAAGGTTTCTGTCATAGGCTTAACATTTGTTTACATATTGGAGTGGGGACTCCTAACGGAAATATGTGATTTATCGCCCCAAGATCCTGCATAAGCGGATGTGGTTACTACTTGAATCCACCGGCGGCAGTGTCATCCTGAGCGCATCACATGTGAGCACGTTGGCCCCCACAGACAGTCGTTTAAAAGTTCCCACAACACTAGGAATAAGTCTCGCTACAACACTCGATGACTAAATCTAATCAGGTGTTGCACCAATGTTTCTTCCAGAATTTTTGCTCCGGGGGAGGGGGGGGTGCATTTGATATTTTTTTTTGGGGGGGGGGGGGGGTCAGACATAGGGAGCCCCGTAACTCCCCTGACACCTGGGCCGTCGCCGAGGCACTTACAGCATGCCTTGGCGTGTCTAGTTGGTAGAAATGAACTGCCGACATTGTTAACATTTATTCAACTTCTGGAAAACAGGGCACACGTCTAAAAATACACGGTTGGTATCGTTATGGTGAAAACCTCATAAAAATCGGCGCCAGTTTGGTGTGTTGGCCTAAGAGAGTCCGTGTTTCTCACGAAAACTGAATGGGGCCAGCTCGTGTGTTAGTAAACCTCTGATTTATTCGTGTACCAGATGGGAATTTTTTTTTAAAGTTAGAGCGACCCTTGTTTTCCATATATATATATATATATATATATATATATATATATATATATATATATATATATATATATATATATATATATATATATATATATATATATATATATATATATAAATATATATATATATAAATAAATATATATATATATATATATATATATATATATATATATATATATATATATATATATATATATATATATATATATATATATATATATATATGGAAAACAAACAACAGTTTGCTCATGTAGTATTTACACTATATAAAACCAATTTCTGCACCTGCTCTTTTCGTTTTTATACCACATATGTTTCTAAGTACATTTTTCTTATTAAAAAATACTTTACAAAAACAATTTGAATTTCGTATAAATTTAATGGAGAAATAAAATATTGCTTACAGATACGAAGGATTGGACAAACAAGCGATTTAAATTTGCCTCACTTTATTCTAATATTTATCGACTTTATTTCGGAGTAATCCTAATTACCTTTCTTAAACATTTGTAACGGTTTAACCTAGTCTAATCAGGTTAAATCTGTTGTAATCAAATATAATCAAATATAATCAAATATAATCAAATATAATCAAATATAATCAGATATAATCAAATATTATCAAATATAATCAAATATAATCAAATACAATCAGATGAAACTGAATTTGTATTCTCCAGATCGTGGGGGCCTTCACTTGGATTGGTTTTGAGAAGCCTAACGTGGTTTTGATCCCACATCAGAAGGACACTCTGGTGCTCAAGTGTCGCGCCAGTCAGATCGCTACCATCGTCTCCCTCTTCTACAACATCTTCCTCATCATCCTGTGCACGGTGTACGCCTTCAAGACCCGCAAGATCCCGCAGAACTTCAACGAGGCCAAGTACATCGCCTTCACCATGTACAGCACCTGCATCGTTTGGTGCGCATTTGTGCCCATCTATTTTGGAGCTAACCATGACTTTAAGGTAAATCTCAAGGCCGATTGCTGCGCTAACCAGTACGGTGCTTACGATGGGTGGGGCAGGGGGCGGATGTTTGAGGGAGGGGTGTGTTTTAGGGAGTGGTGTGATTGAGGGAGGGGTATGATTGAGGGAGGGATGTGATTGAGGGAGGGGTGTGATTGAGGGAGGGGTGTGATTGAGGGAGGGTTGTGATTGAGGGAGGGGTGTAAATGAGGGAGGGGTGTGATTGAGGGAGGGGTGTGTTTGTTGAGGGAACGGTGTGATAGAGGGAGGGGTGTAAATGAGAGAGGGGTGTAGGGCGTTTGTTTGAAGGAGGCGTGTGATTGAGGGAGGGGTGTGTTTTAGGGATGGGTGTGGGGCGTTTGTTTGAAGGAGGGGTGTGATTGATGGAGGGGTGTAATTGTAGTCGCCCGCATGTTGCTTAATCAAAGAATTTTTCTAGAATGAGTTAAGGTGCTTTGTGGGGCGTTTAAATGTCCAGTTAGTTCATGTTTCTCTATTGATCTGTTCATGTTTCTCTATTGGTCTGTTCATGTTTCTCTATTGATCTGTTCATGTTTCTCTATTGGTCTGTTCATGTTTCTCTATTGGTCTGTTCATGTTTCTCTATTGGTCTGTTCATGTTTCTCTATTGGTCTGTTCATGTTTCTCTATTCATCTATTCATGTTTCTCTGTTGATCTATTCATGTTTCTCAATTGGTCTGTTCATGTTTCTCTATTGGTCTGTTCATGTTTCTCTATTCATCTATTCATGTTTCTCTGTTGATCTATTCATGTTTCTCAATTGGTCTGTTCATGTTTCTCTATTCATCTATTCATGTTTCTCTATTGGTCTGTTCATGTTTCTCTATTGGTCTGTTCATGTTTCTCTATTGGTCTGTTCATGTTTCTCTATTGGTCTGTTCATGTTTCTCTATTGATCTGTTCATGTTTCTCTCTTGATCTGTTCATGTTGTTACGAACACCACTCTATCAGCCGCAGAGCTGGCGAACGTACCCGGGTTCACTTAGATGGTTACATACAGATGGCTTAAAGCCCTATAAAAGGTAGCTGGCACAACAGTTCACGAGGACTCGTACTTAACGTCTAGGGGATACACTCGAGGAACTCCTGATACCAACAACACATTTAATCCATATATAACCTTTAATATGTGCACAAATTCAAGACAAGACTCTAGCTTTATACAGAATAAAATGAAGAAAAAACACTATGTTACACTATCACAGGATATGGCACTTAGGAAAATCACCACAGCTTATACGACACTACTTAATTTAAAGCACATAATATTACTTAAAACCACAAGTAATAAGGGAAAATGCTGCTTAAAACTACAAAGTACAATATGGCGACTCACACGGCTTTCTCTCTCAGAGATGTCTGGTCGGACTGCCCAGAGAAACGTGTGCGCATGGATTTTATCAACTTTGGAAACATGGGAGGTCACCTTCAAATCACAATACTATTGTTTAGACCACCGCCGATGTCCGAGTCAACCAATCGTAATTATAGAAGGATTACACCACAACTCGTGATGGAAAAGTACCGGGTATATATCTTTCTTGAAACTATGGAAAAACACCGGTGATTACACCACAGGTTATTCATGGTTGGGTAATAAATGTAAACTAAAAAAATACAAGACCTAGGTAGGTCACAATGTTTCTCTGTTGATCTGTTCATGTTTCTCTATTGGTCTGTTCATGTTTCTCTGTTGATCTGTTCATGTTTGTCTATTCGTCTGTTCATGTTAATCTATTGATCTATTCATGTTTATCAATTGGTCTGTTCATGTTTCTCTGTTGGTCTATTCATGTTTCTCTATTGATCTGTTCATGTTTCTCTGTTGATCTGTTCATGTTTCTCTGTTGATCTGTTCATGTTTATCTATTGATATGTTCATGTTTCTCTCTTGATCTGTTCATGTTTCTCTATTGGTCTGTTCATGTTTCTCTGTTGATCTGTTCATGTTTCTCTGTTGATCTGTTCATGTTTCTCTGTTGATCTGTTCATGTTTCTCTATTGATCTCTGCAGATCGAGGTGACGTCACTGTGTATGTGTGTCAACATCAGCGCGACCGTCGCCCTCTTCTGTCTGTTTGCCCCCAAAGTCTACATCGTGCTGCTCCAGCCTCACAAGAACGTCAGGCAGACATCGACCGCTGCCACCAGCACCAAGGTCCCCCGGGCCTTCTATGACCCACCCACGGCCTCCACAGGCGGGGTCTGTCCCCCATACCACTACAACGACCTGAACGGAGGGGTCTACTGTGGCGACATCCCCACCCAGCCTGCTTTACCTCCGCCCATGCGTGAAAGAAAAAAAAACAACACCCATGTGGTATTAGCCAGCCCAACAAGTAATGTCACCATGACAACGGTCGCAGCTCATAGACACCACGGAGAGGATGCTGAAGATGGGGAGACAGAAGAGATGGTGGGCCACACGGACGAGATGGTGGGCCACAAGACTTTAGATGAGCAACTAAGGGAAAGAATCCATTTCCCTAAACTCAGCTACAGTGTAAACGACTATGATGACGTCAGTGATTCAAGTGACGAATGTTCTCCGGTAAAAATTCCAAACGACGTCACCTGATGACGTCATAAATGTATGTCTGTAAACTTAAAGAAAAAGGATTTGTTAGCCGACAAGTTTCGTTCGACTGCCATCAACGCAGCTTGTCAAACTTGCCAGTAACGTGTGTATAGGCAGCTACCTCTTGAGAATGTTCCGTGACATATGTGACATTTAAGCTGCCATAAGATGTCATCGGTTACTTTTCACATTTGGATGATGACATCAATTATATTGAATCAGTTTATTTGTTACATTTAACCTTTAAGTAGGTGACATTTGTCCTGTAAGGGGTGACATTTGTCCTGTAAGTGGATGACATTTGTCCTGTAAGGGGTGACATTTGTCCTGTAAGGGATAACATTTGTCCTGTAAGGGGTGACATTTGTCCTGTAAGGGGTGACATTTGTCCTGTAAGTGGGTGACATTTGTCCTGTAAGTGGGTGACATTTGTCCTGTAAGTGGGTGATATTTGTCCTGTAAGGGATGACATATGTCCTGTAAGTGGGTGACATTTGTCCTGTAAGTGGGTGACATTTGTCCTGTAAGTGGGTGACATTTGTCCTGTAAGTGGATGACGTTTGTCTTGTAAGTAGGTGACATTTGTCCTGTAAGTGGATGACGTTTGTCTTGTAAGTAGGTGACATTTGTCCTGTAAGTGGATGACGTTTGTCTTGTAAGTGGGTGACATTTGTCCTGTTTGATTACCTCGTCACACCTGCGATGTTTCATATGGTGAGTGTTATGTATGTGTGTTCTGTATATGTTCTGTGTGTGTGTTCTGCATGAGTGTTCTGTATGTGTGTTCTGTATGTGTGTTATGTATGTGTGTTCTGTATGTGTGTTCTGTATGAGTGTTCTGTATATGTTCTGTATATGTTCTATGTGTGTGTTCTGCATGAGTGTTCTGTATGTGTGTTATGTATGTGTGTTCTGTATGAGTGTTCTGTATATGTTCTGTATATATTCTGTATGTGTGTTCTGTATGTGTGTTCTGTATGTGTGTTCTGTATGTGTGTTCTGTATATGTTCTGTGTGTGTGTTCTGTATATGTTCTGTATATGTTCTGTATGTGTGTTCTGTATGAGTGTTCTGTATATGTTCTGTATATGTTCTGTATGTGTGTTCTGTATGTGTGTTCTGTATGTGTGCTCTGTATGTGTGTTCTGTATGTGTGTGCTGTATGTGTGTTCTGTATGTGTGTTCTGTATGTGTGTTCTATATATGTTCTGTGTGTGTGTTCTGTATATGTTCTGTATATGTTCTGTATATGTTCTGTATGTGTGTTCTGTATGAGTGTTCTGTATATGTTCTGTATATGTTCTGTATGTGTGTTCTGTATGTGTGTTCTGTATATGTTCTGTGTGTGTGTTCTGTATATGTTCTGTGTGTGTTCTGTATGTGTGTTCTGAATGTGTGTTCTGTATATGTTCTGTGTGTGTGTTCTGCATGAGTGTTCTGCATGTGTGTTCTGTATGTGTGTTCTGTATGTGTGTTCTGTATGAGTGTTCTGTATGAGTGTTCTGTATATGATCTATGTGTGTGTTCTGCATGAGTGTTCTGCATGTGTGTTCTGTATGTGTGTTCTGTATGTGTGTTCTGTATGAGTGTTCTGTATGAGTGTTCTGTATATGTTCTATGTGTGTGTTCTGCATGAGTGTTCTGTATGTGTGTTCTGAATGTGTGTTCTGTATGTGTGTTCTGTCTGGTGTTCTGTATATGATCTGTATGTGTGTTCTGTATGTGTGTTCTGTATGTGTGTTCTGTATATGTTCTGTATATGTTCTGTGTGTGTGTTCAGTATGTGTGTTCTGTATGTGTGTTCTGTATGTGTGTTCTGTATGTGTGTTCTGTATGTGTGTTCTGTATATTTTCTGTATATGTTCTGTGTGTGTGTTCTGTATGTGTGTTCTGTATGTGTGTTCTGTATATGTTCTGTATATGTTCTGTGTGTGCGTTCTGTATGTGTGTTCTGTATGTGTGTTATGCATGAGTGTTCTGCATGAGTGTTCTGTATGTGTGTTCTGTATGTGTGTTCTGTATGTGTGTTCTGTATGTGTGTTCTGTATATGTTCTGTATATGCTCTGTGTGTGTTCTGCATGAGTGTTCTGAATGTGTGTTCTGTATGTGTGTTCTGTATGTGTGTTCTGTATATGTGTTCTGTATGTGTGTTCTGTATGTGTGTTCTGTATGTGTGTTCTGTATGAGTGTTCTGTATATGTTCTATGTGTGTGTTCTGCATGAGTGTTCTGTATGTGTGTTCTGTATGTGTGTTCTGTATGTGTGTTCTGTATATGTTCTGTATATGTTCTTTATATGTTCTGTGTGTGTTCTGCATGAGTGTTCTGTATGTGTGTTCTGTGTGTGTGTTCTGTATGTGTGTTCTGTATATGTGTTCTGTATGTGTGTTCTGTATGTGTGTTCTGTATATGTGTTCTGTATGTGTGTTCTGTATGTGTGTTCTGTATATGTGTTCTGTATGTGTGTTCTGTATATGTGTTCTGCATGTGTGTTCTGTATGAGTGGTTTGTTCTGTATGAGTGGTTTGTTCTGTGTGTGGTTTGTTCTGTGTTGTGTGTGTGTGGTTTGTTCTGTGTGTGGCGTGTGTGCATGTGGTTTGTGTTATTTTTATAACGTGACCAGTGTGGCTTCATGTGATGTGGCCATTGTCATGATTTAAAGTCAAGGGCTATTGTCATGATTTTGTCATTAAAAAATTAATGTATATCTCTTGTGTGTTTTTTATCTCTAATAGCCTGATAACCTCTCTGATATAATAGCTACATACTAACAGAACAGCCTGCAAACTATATGACAGTCATATACTGACAGAACAGTGTGCAAACTATATGACAGTCATATAGGCTACTGACAGAACAGTCTGCAAACTATATGACAGTCATATACTGACAGAACAGTCTGCAAACTGTATGACAGTCATATAGGCTACTGACAGAACAGTCTGCAAACTATATGACAGTCATATACTGACAGAACAGTCTGCAAACTATATGACAGTCATATACTGACAGAACAGTCTGCAAACTATATGACAGTCATATACTGACAGAACAGTCTGCAAACTATATGACAGTCATATAGGCTACTGACAGAACAGTCTGCAAACTATATGACAGTCATATACTGACAGAACAGTCTGCAAACTATATGACAGTCATATACTGACAGAACAGTCTGCAAACTATATGACAGTCATATACTGACAGAACAGTCTGCAAACTATATGACAGTCATATACTGACAGAACAGTCTGCAAACTGTATGACAGTCATATAGGCTACTGACAGAACAGTCTGCAAACTATATGACAGTCATATACTGACAGAACAGTCTGCAAACTATATGACAGTCATATACTGACAGAACAGTCTGCAAACTATATGACAGTCATATACTGACAGAACAGTCTGCAAACTATATGACAGTCACATACTGACAGAACAGTCTGCAAACTATATGACAGTCATATACTGACAGAACAGTCTGCAAACTATATGACTGTCATATACTGACAGAACAGTCTGCAAACTATATGACAGTCATATACTGACAAGACCGTCACATACTAACATGACAGTCATCGAGTGATGTGACAGTTAGATATTGACATGACAGTCATCGAGTAATGTGACAGTTAGATATTGACATGACAGTCATCGAGTGATGTGACAGTTAGATATTGACATGACAGTCATCGAGTGATGTGACAGTTAGATATTGACATGACAGTCATCAAGTAATGTGACAGATATTGACATGACAGTCATCGAGTGATGTGACAGTTAGATATTGACATGACAGTCATAGAGTGATGTGACAGTTAGATATTGACATGACAGTCATCGAGTGATGTGACAGTTAGATATTGACATGACAGTCATCGAGTGATATTACAGTTAGATATTGACATGACAGTCATCAAGTAATGTGACAGATATTGACATGACAGTCATCGAGTGATGTGACAGTTAGATATTGACATGACAGTCATCGAGTGATGTGACAGTTAGATATTGACATGCACATCATGTACTGTAAAAGTTAAAGGATAAAACAGGATCATCTGGAGTAGCAAAGGAACATTTTTACTTAGTGAATTGTTTCATGAATAAACTGTACACCAAACTTATCTTTGTTGTGTGCGGGTGTTGGTGGGGAGTGTGTGGAGGTATGTGTCAGTCAGTCATGTCAGTCAGTCATGCTTATCAGTGATTCAGATGTCTTGTATTACTAAACACCTGCACATCGCTAGTGACTCACAGATCTCTTTGCTTGTCGTGACGTCATTAAACGTGCATTTCGTCTGAGCCGAACTGACCATTTATGTGCTTGTATGTTCTCCAACATGTCTGTAGTGTGTGTGTGTGTGTGTGATTGTGTGTGTGTGTTAATGTAGGCATCAATGCAGCTCCTACCTGAGTTCATAATTTGCACGTCGTCGCATACCTGACGCAGGTCATTAGACTCTACCCTAATCCACCCGTCGCCATCTTTCCACCCGTCCGTTCTTCTATCCGTCTATCCGTACATCTATCCGTACATCTATCCATCAATCCGTACATTTATCCGAATATTTATCCGTCTATCCTTACATCTATCCGTCAAACCGTACATCTATCCGTCGAACCGTACATCTATCCGTCTATCCGTACATCTATCCGCCTATCCGTACATCTATCCGCCTATCCGTACATCTATTCGTCTATCCGTACATCTATCCATCTAGCCGTACATCTATACGTCTATCCGTACATCTATCCGTCTATCCGTACATCTATCCGTACATCTATCCGTACATCTATCCGTCTATCCGTACATCTATCCGTCTATCCGTACATCTATCCGTCTATCCATACATCTATCCGTCTATCCGTACATCTATCCGTACATCTATCCGTCTATCCGTACATCTATCCGTCTATCCGTACATCTATCCGTCTATCCGTACATCTATCCGTCTATCCGTACATCTATCCGTCTATTCGTACATCTATCCGTACATCTATCCGTCAAACCGTACATTTATCCGAATATCTATCCGTCTATCCGTACATCTATCCGTCTATCCGTACATCTATCCGTCTATCCATACATCTATTCGTATATCCGTACATCTAACCGTCTATCCGTACATCTATCCGTACATCTATCCGTCTATCCGTACATCTATCCGTACATCTATCCGTCTATCCGTACATCTATCCGTCTATCCGTACATCTATCCGTCTATCCGTACATCTATCCGTCTATCCGTACATCTATCCTTCTATCCGTACATCTATCGGTACATCTATCCGTCTATCCGTACATCTATCCGTCTATCCATACATCTATCCGTCTATCCGTACATCTATCCGTACATCTATCCGTCTATCCGTACATCTATCCGTCTATCCGTACATCTATCCGTCTATCCGTACATCTATCCGTCTATCCATACATCTATCCGTCTATCCGTACATCTATCAGTACATCTATCCGTCTATCCGTACATCTATCCGTACATCTATCCGTCTATCCGTACATCTATCCGTCTATCCGTACATCTATCCGTACATGTATCCGTCTATCCGTACATCTATCCGTACATCTATCCGTATATCCGTACATCTAACCGTCTATCCGTACATCTATCCGTACATTTATCCGTCTATCCGTACATCTATCCGTACATCTATCCGTCTATCCGTACATCTATCTGTCTATCCGTACATCTATCCGTCTATCCGTACATCTATCCATCTATCCGTACATCTATCCTTCTATCCGTACATCTATCGGTACATCTATCCGTCTATCCGTACATCTATCCGTCTATCCGTACATCTATCCTTCTATCCGTACATCTATCGGTACATCTATCCGTCTATCCGTACATCTAACCGTCTATCCGTACATCTATCCGTACATCTATCCGTCAAACCGTACATTTATCCGAATATCTATCCGACTTTCCGTACATCTATCCGTCTATCCGTACATCCATCCTGTCTATCCGTACATCCATCCTGTCTATCCGTACATCCATCCTGTCTATCTACCTGAGCTCCTGTCTGCGAGTTAGTCTATCTGTTGGTCTGTCTATCTATCAGGTGAAGCACATGACTGGCTCTGAGACAAAGGTCAAGTCAACCCTAACTTGAATGTTTGTCCACGTTTCGTACAGGCTTACAGCGCAATGTGTCAAAACTACAACACTTACAGCAACATTTTCTAAACTAGAACACTTACAGCAACATATTCTAAACTAGAACACTTACAGCAACATTTTCTAAACTAGAACACTTACAGCAACATTTTCTAAACAAGAACACAGCAACATTTTCTAAACTAGAACACTTACAGCAACATTTTCTAAACTAGAACACTTACAGCAACATTTTCTAAACAAGAACACAGCAACATTTTCTAAACTAGAACACTTACAGCAACATTTTCTAAACTAGAACACTTATAGCAACATTTTCTAAACTAGAACACTTACAGCAACATTTTCTAAACAAGAACACAGCAACATTTTTTAAACTAGAACACTTACAGCAACATTTTCTAAACTAGAACACTTACAGCAACATTTTCTAAACTAGAACACTTACAGCAACATTTTCTAAACTAGAACACTTACAGCAACATTTTCTAAACTAGAACACTTATAGCAACATTTTCTAAACTAGAACACTCTTTGGTCGATGAGTAGTTTTTTTTTACTGTAATCAGTTCGCCGTAGTACGCCAAACGTTTTAGTGTGTCATGTGCTGTTGTGTGTAATGTGCTGTAGTGTGTAATGTGCTGTAGTGTGTAATGTGCTGTAGTGTGTCATGTGCTGTAGTGTGTAATGTGCTGTAGTGTGTAATGTGCTGTAGTGTGTCATGTGCTGTAGTGTGTAATGTGCTGTAGTGTGTCATGAGTTGCGGTGACCTGTGTGATCTAGAAACCCGTGGGGTAAAGCCGGAGCGAAATATTTGTACCTCGGCCTGTGTGTGTCTACGAATTACTCAAAGCAAACAAAAAGCCAATCCCACAATCCCACAATCCCACTGCCCTTGTAGTCCACCGTCAAGCCGGCATTTGTCAGTCGCCTAGAAGACCTTTCCCTCACACGCTGAGTTGGGTGTAAAAAGGTTGTCAAATAGGTTGTCAAATAGGTTGTCAAATAGGTTGTCAAATAGGTTGTCAAATAGGTTGTCAAATAGGTTGTCAAATAGGTTGATTAAGGACCAACCCCGAGTTCTGAATTCTGGATTTTCATTGGACCAACCCCGAGTTCTGAATTCTGGATTTTCATTGGTCGAAGCATTGAAAACACGTAGAGAGTAAACCCTATTTGTGTCAAGACATTGAATTCAATACTGATGTTTTTTAGAATACACTCAACTTAATTGCTCCTAGAACTGGAAAAGGTGTGTGAGTATTTTAAAATTTCGGGAATGATTGAATTAACAATTTTATCCTAGAGACCATTACTTTGGTTTGATCACTTAAGCACACCCACATAGATTCAGGCCCATCTAACCCTAACCCTATACCTTAGCGAATCAAAAATTTATTTTTTAAATGAGTAGGGGCTTTATTTTTTTTACAAGTTTTTACTGAAACAACATCGAGCTTTTTATTCTATTATTTTTTGTTAGTTTGTGGCAAACTCATTATGAGCCACTTCTAATGCAGTCATTTCGTTTAACTTTCCAGCTGCGTGCAAATATATTTATTAAGCGATTAATCGATCAACCATTTTACAACGATAAACTGTTGGTCGCAGACAGAGAGAGGCCTACACATCGGGTTTTAGAGCAGAAATCTTTATTGTCGTCGACTTCATTAAGAACAAATTACAAAGGGAGAAAATAAAACAAATATAAAAAAACACATTATAAAAATAAGCGTTAAATGCACTAAATATTAGGGGAAAAAACAAACTTGCTCTCTTTAATAAAAGGATTGGTCACTTATGAGATCTCTTACATATGTTAGCTTCTGTTTGATGTAGTTGAATGCCTTGCGACAGTATTGCCGACCCATGTTAAGTATTGACCCACACTTGTAACACTACTGTGCCCTCCCCTCACTTGTCCCCCCCCCCCCCCACATAGCTTAAGCAGCTGTAGAGCTATCAACTCAGCAACCTTGACATTGTTAAATCCTAGCCCAGAATTCTTGAGTCTCCGCCCTCTGGCCAGGCCTGTTTGACCATCTCCTGAAGGGCTAATTTGAACAGCGAAATGTGCCGCTAATTCCGGCTCAGCAAAGATTTACCCTCGACGTCCTGTCCCATAGCTTGACGCATTCTTCGCCCCGAAACGTTGGATGGAAATATTGAGTTCACTGGCAGAATGCTCCTTATTTCATCGTGACTCGGTCTGGTAAGGCTCAAACTTTCAGTTGCTCAGAGTGGGGCGCCGTCAGTTGCTCAGAGTTGGGCGCCGTCAGTTGGTCAGAGTGGGGCGCCGCTCTACGGGCAGTGGGTTAACTTCAGGCTGTCAACGGTTGCTCCAGTCAACGGTTGCTCCAGTCAACAGTTGCTCCAGTCAACGGTTGCTCCAGTCAACGGTTGCTCCAATCAACGGTTGCTCCAGTCAACGGTTGCTCCAGTCAACGGTTGCTCCAGTCAGTCCGTGTCGAAACGGTAAAGAAATAGATAGATTTTATTTACATGCAGACATTTAATGGTGGTCTTATACAAAAGACAAACTTAAGGCCAGAATTGTAGAAAATTTTCTTGGTGCTAATTTTACTATTGATAATTTTATTATGGATAATTTTATTAGTGATAATTTGGTGCAGAATTGATTTATTATTTATTACAATGATTGTACAAGCTTGTCTTTAGACGTACGTTTGTTGTTGATTGATTAAGCTGAGGGGAACTTTTATATGAAATTTTGACCCTTGTCAACGGGGAGGTAATATTTCAAAGTTTGCAAAATAAGTCATGTGACAATGCACGAACATCTTGTTAGTTGTTAAAGAATTCATTAAAATTAAGTGAAGTCTATTAAAAACAACGGGAAATAACTCATTTCTAATCCGTCTGATGAGCTGGGCATTCACCCATATTTTATTCAAATCTTAATTTGCAAGAATTCAACCATTAATATACCTAGCGGGTTATTAATCTAAACTTGAAGTATCATGTTATTAATTCAACTCTGTATATTAGAAGCATTTCATAAATTCAAGCTATACTTTTAAAAGTCTGTAATTAAATTAAACATGCAATATTAGCAGCGTATGTAATTTATGCAATCTATTCTTCTTCTTCGTTCTGAATGTTAATGTTAAGTATACATGTCAACTGGTTATGCGTCATTGAGGCCATTTACTCCGATTTCAGCCTGCTTTTCTTTTTGGATTTGCTTCCGTAGCCTTTAGCCAACCAAGAACAAACTACAAGGCAGCAGTTGTTTGATTTTGGAGTTGTCTCTCCTAGAAGAGTGGCTGTCTCCAGTTGTCTCTCCTAGTATCAACTTTTTAGTTTTGTATCAACCTTTTAGTTTTGTATCAACTTTTCAGCGGTTTCTGGTAGCAGGAAGTGGAACTTATTCTACTTTAGGTTTTTCAAAAGCCTGTATCTTGAGTACTGTTTCTGATAGATAAACGACATTTCCATCTAGGTAAAAGATCTAATTCTCTGCCTTCTCTCAAGTTTAGAGCAATTTCCCTCGACCGAAATTAGTACTTTACGCTATTTCCGATTTCTAAGAAAAAAACAACCTATGAAGTTTTAAAGTATAGTGTTTGGCACTATTATACAGATATTGTTTGGAGTTCACTTGGTGCGCAATTATTTTTTTTTCTACGAGATTCTATTCTTTTTTTTAAAGTTTAAGTAGGCTACGTAAAAACTGATTTAAAACCATGTCTATATCCCGAGAGTTGCCATCACCGTAGTGTTATATAAGAATATTCGAGAAAGTTTAGGGGAGATCACACCCGCTTTATTTCAGCAAATTTGTCATTGTACTTCGTTTGAATAATAATATGTCTTTTTCAACCTAATACTAATAGGTCAATAATTTTATAAAAACACACCCACGCCCACCCACACACGAATATATCTATAATAGCTAGTTGCACACATTTTTTTAAATAATTAAAATGACAAAATAACGACGGGGTTGTAATAAGGGGACTAATTGTTGCAAAATGATACCAAATTTATGTTTATAGGATAAACGGTTCTCTAGATATGACGGTTTTAGTGTAAAAATTGCCGGGACAACTAAGCCTATGGAGAATGAAAACAATAAACCGGGAGTGATCTCCCCTAAACTTTCTCGAATATTCTTATATAAAACAACAGGGGATGGGAACTCGGGATATAGTTATGATTTTTAATCAATTTTAAATACATAAAAATTTTAAAATAAAATAGAATCTCATAGAAACAAGTTAATTAAAAAAGTCTAGTGACATTTGTGCGCAATTTCCTTATGTTATCTAAAAATAGCTCTGACGTATAATGTTGGGGTGCGTTCAAGCTAGAAGAACAATCGGTTTGTAGGTGTTTATGTAATTTTAAAATTTGTGACCGAACGAGAGAATATTTTTGAAAACTTTCTTCGGCAATATTGTTCTAAATTATGACAGGAATCGATTGGTACATGTTTCAAGTCGCTAAGTGGTCTGGTTGCCGAGATATGGGCCAAAAACTGCTTTTTTTTCGAGATTTTTTGGCTTTTCTGGGAAATCCATGAAAGAAACCCGGAATTTTTATGGCCTATGTTCATCCTCGTAACTTGCTTAACATAATTGCTTTTGGAACTAGTCATCGATATTGCTTCGTTGAGGAGGAGATACGACTTAAAGCTGCGGACACACATTCATCCATCCATCCATCCATCCATCCAGAAATGACGGGTTAATAAACGCAATTCTCCAGAATGGAAATTGCGCTAAAAAGTATTGTACACCAAGCGAACGCCGAATAAAGATGTTCATAATGGTGCGCAATATTATTAGTACTTTATAAATTTAGATGCGTTTTTGAGAAATCGGAAATAGCGTAAATTAGTACTTCCCGTCAACGGAAATTACTCAAAATTTAACAGAAGGTAGAGAATTAGATCTTTTACTTACATGTGAAATTTCATTTATCTATCTGAAATAGTACTTAAGTTATAGGCTTTTGAAAAATTCAAAGTAGGAAAAGTACCACTTCCGGTTATCGGAAATCGCTTAAAAGTTGATACGGATCTACGATTTTGATAAAATACTTATATATGAAATTTCATCAACCTAGCTGTAACGGTACTCAAGTTATCGTGTTTACACACGTACACACGGACAGACAGACAGACAGACACACAGACAGACACACAGACATACGGACAAGATTGCAAAATTATGTTTTTCCGTATCAGTGAGGTGTAAAACGTCGAGATTTGTAAAAATCTCTATTTTTTTTTTTTTTGCACGATTACAATTCTTTCTCTATACTACGTATATACGAGAAAGTAAAAATTGGTCACGTCGAGAGCGTAGAAAAAAAAGGCGATAGGGAAATAACTCTGCGTAGGCACACAATTATAAAATTTTCAAATAAATATTTTAATGCATTTTTAAAACATGAGTATCTCTACCAAGATATTAATAAATTATTTAATTTAAAAGTGGTCTATTAAAAATTATTTAAATTAAAATATACCACTGGATAGATTCAATCATTTAACTCAAACGTCATAGTAATAGTAAAAATAATAGAAACTGGCTGAGTAAAAAAAAATTAACATTCCTAATTCCTAGGTAAACGGTATCATAGAGACAGCTCAGTACAGTGCAACATGTATGAGTGTTTTTGACATATTGGAGCATGTCATTTAGGAGATAATCTTTGGGTGTCGTTAGATAACTGAACATAGCTGGCGCGAAACAAACAGCAACGTTATCAAGAATCGAGCATTTCACACAGCTACGTAGACAGATGCTAGACACGAGGGTTTCTGTCCGACTTTTGCCTCCAGTTTTAAATACGACATCTTGCCACCTGGTTTTGAACGTTAAGGACAGTTTGGTCGTGTGATGACCTACGGTCACCAGGTCGGGTACCGATCTATCAGTTTAGTTAGTGGGCGTACTACATACTAGACCACACTGTCAAGTTGTGATAACCTTTAACAAAACCTTGGGGATACGGGGTCTGGAAAAACGTCTGGCAACAATGAGCTATGGATGGGGGAGGGGAATGTGTGTAAAAAAGAGTGACTTTATGTGTGGACAATGAAGGGCAGATTCAATTCCGTATCATGTTTAGAAAAGCAAAAGGAACCACAGCACTACATAGCTAACTTATCAACTATACTTTACATACTTTTAACTTCATTTTTAGATTTAGTATTCGAAAAAAATCAATCACACTAACTTAACAAAAGCAACTCAATTGGCACCCGACTCAAAGGTCTTTAACTCAGAAAGTCTCCCTCCCCCCTCCTCAAACAATCGTTGAGTGTGAGTGGGTATCAAGCAAATAAGTATAGGCCTTTGTTTACAAGGGTATGTTTTATTCTTTAGCAAGTTAAGCTAATGGTATATGAAGTAAATGACGACTATCAGTGTAAACTTTCAGCTAGTTACAATCGAATGAACATACTCGTAAAATGTTGTGTTTTAACTAATATTTCTTATATTAATAAGATTTGGATCCCGCACAGTCTACTTGGTGAATTTAACCACTATTCAATTAATAATTTCGACCTTTGGCCTATCTAAATATATAATTCTCTTCTGGGAGCCGTTAGAAAACAAGCTGCAAGCGCCTCCTTGCAGTCCCCTCTCTATCACTATCACTATCACTACCACCCCCACCCCCACATTGTCTGGTGAGCTGTGGTCACCGGGTTTCTATTAGGGGCAGATAATTTAGTTCGATTTTAAACTTACAGGAGGTAACTAAGAAATAACTAAGAGGAGGCTGCTTTCACGGGGGGGGGGGGGGGGGGTAGGGTCGGGGTTAGGGGAAAGGGGGGGGGGGGGGTAGTGTTTTAAAGCAAAAATTTTCAGTGGCAGCATTGGTACTGTCGAATTCACAAATTATGAATTACTGAAAAGTAGAAAATAAAACAACTAAATAGCGGCGTATGATACGCTGCGGGTCGGCTCGTAATGTTTAAGACAGCTTAGATACATCTTTATTTTACATTTAAAATAGACCTGATGACCTAATAATATAAAACAAATATAACGGAATACGAAAGCGGAGAAAGGTAGAATCGATATCGCTAATACTTAGGCCTACGTTATCTATTTTGTTAGTTGGGTTTTACAGCTTGAGAACGTCTGAAGAAGAAAGTAAAAACATTTGTGAAAATAACATTAAAAATGTACCGACTCACACAAAATTCAAGTTAAGTCTGAATGTTTTCTTATTTTAATTGGTCAAAATACCAACGGATATAGCGACAAAACATTAGCGATACCTCTTTTCTCGATTTTTAGATTTAAGCCTCTACTATAATGCATTACGAAAAAGATGATTCCGTAGTTGAAAAATTAAACTAAAAATCGTATACTTACTCAAATCGAACATAGTGTCATTATTTTTAGTTTTAAATCATTACTAGACTACCCGTCATCCGTTGGATAACTGTGGGTTTCGGGGGTCATCCATAAAAAACATCACGTCTGTCACTTATCGTCACAAAAAACCAGACCCCACATTCAAAAAGATGTTTTTCATCTTTTAAAAACACCGAAAACACCGATTTCGGACTATCCCTTCATATACTGACGTCACAGATGACGTACTCAACTCTACTTTACCTGCCCAGTGTCCCGCCAAGTCTCAGTCAACATGTTTTTATCGTTTAAAAAAACTATTCCAGCCGAGCATGTCTCTGACAACACTATCGCTTCATATGCTTAGGACAAAGAAACAGATTAACTCTACTTCACCTGCCCTGTATCCCGCCAAGTTCAGATAGACAACTTTATCATTCACATCTAAAAAAATAAAATAAAAATTGAAAAAAAAAATATCATTGACGTATTGGTCTAGAACCCGTGCCATCCGCACGCAAGCCGATTACACTAACAACTTAGCTATTTAACTCGTGACGTCACAGATGGATTTTCATAAAATACTTTAATACTTTGAGTCTCCTTATGCAACTAGATTTACGCGCATAGATCTAGATCTAAGTCTAGTAGTAGTATCTTTCAAATTAAATTTTATCTTAAATTAGCCAAACAAAGATTTATATAAAATAATGAAGGTCTGAACTTATCTAGATCTAGATAGAATTATCTAGATCTAGATTCTACGACTCGCTTGCTTAAGTCTAGTATTTGCGTAACTCTTGCTAGATCTACAAATTCTAGATCTAGAATCTAGATCAAATCATAAGACCTATTATAGCTAGATAGATCTAGATCTAGATAGATAAATCACAAAGATTTATATCAAGTATTAAAGGACTAAAAAATGTATTATGATTATAAAATGTATTGTATTTTTATCTAATTAATCTTTGGTATGTATCTAATTAATCTTTGGTTTGACCTAGATTCTAGATCTAGATCTATAAATAACTTGCTTGGCCACATGATATTTTTAGATCTATAAATAACTTTCTTGGACAGATTGTAGAGCTAGAGAAATTTATTGTAAAACTAAATGAAAAAGACAGTTGAAAATTTATATAAGTGTTGGAACGTAGTAAAAACAGCAAACGGACGTATTGTTAAAGTTAAGGCCCACAGAAAATTAGCTTTAGAATGCGTTAAACTTTTGAATGGGCCACACAGTCTATGATGGAAGTCGCCATGTTATAGTATTAAAAAGTAAACAAAATTTGTGACGTCACTATTCAGTCAAGGTAAAGCCATTGCTCTAAAACTTTAAAATTAATGTGGTTAATCTACCTATGAATAAATCAATAATTAATTAACGTCTTTAAATAAATTTGTGAATAACAGTCTGTCTGAAAACAAAAATTGTTCTCTGCCTACATACTATTTTACATCTCTCCACACAGAGTAGAGCCGTTTACAATAGTCAATCAGACAAACAAAAAAAATATATTCAAACATGTAAACAAACTTGAGTTTAGATAGATATGTATAACTTAATTTCAACTTTGTGTTGAGTTATCGTATACCTAATTCAATCATCAGTAGCACGTAGTACTGGCCGCAACAAATTAGCTCAATTCATACAATTTTTTATTTTAAAAAGGTAAATTTATTACCTTTGAATCCTCTCATTTACTAGTTTTATTATTAAAATTCTTTAAGAAAAAAAATGTATAAAAATTGGTGACATAATTCCTATAAAACGAAGGAACATGAAAAAGCGGTATCGATACCGCTAATAATGTACCTACTTTGTGAGACATTTTGCATAGTCTGCTAAACGGATAAACCTAAAATAAATATGCTAGTTAGAAAGTTTAATAAACAATAAAGATAAGCCCACTAAAAACAGAGTTAGTCTCAATGTTTTACTATTTTATGTAAATTTTGCATACTCACCTTTTAAACTCAATATGAGATTAACAAAAACAAGTAAAAAGTTGAAATAAAAACGATACGGCGGTAACGTTCAATAACCGTTGCTAATAAGGAGGGCATATATGATTGGAATCATAATCGCGTTCTATCATTTTTTAACGATAAACATGGCATTGCGAACGACAAAATTTGAATTAGATTTTATTGTGTACGAAAGGTTTAGAGCCTGTGACGTCATATTTTATTTACTTGTGCAACTAGCTAAATCTATAATATAAGCGACATAAAGTTATTTCATAGTTGCCACTGTTTTTACTCTTTTGCATAACGTAAAGAAAATATTAAATACACGCACATTGCTAAAACATATTAAAAGGATCAATGTTAAATATCATTTCCATTTATATTCCTAGAAAAGGTGGAAACATTTTCATAACAGTAGGTCGAAAAAACTAATTAATTAAACTTTTTTTTGGTAATTTTTGCAAGGGAGGTAATTTAAAAATAAATTTAACGCATCAATAATTGAAGTTATTTTTTTTTTACTATCGCATTGATTATTATATGTTAAGGTTCATAATTAAAATTAAAAATGTTAAGATTATTTATATTATTTTCTAATTAGTCTTAAATTTCTCAAAATCACTATTTTTTGTTTTTACTTTTCTGTTTTATTAAAACAGATGGTGAAATTAGACTTTTAGAGAATGCTGGAAAGGCTCTATCTGGGAAAATGTGTTTTTAATATTCATTTCACTCTCAATAATTTAAGTTATTTTTTTTTTAAATTACTACCGCATTGATTATCATATGTTAAGATTCATAAGTAAAATAGAAAAATGTTAAGATTATTTATATTATTTTCTAATTAGTCTATGATCTCTCAAAATCACTACTTTTTGTTTTTGTTTTTCGGTGTTAACAGATGGTGAAAATTTAGAATTATAATATAGAGAATGCTGGAATGCGGGGACGCCTGGGAAAGTGTGTTTTTCGGTGGTGATTCTAATTACATTGTCAATGTGTTTTCTTAGAACCATAAAAGTAAACATCCCTTGCCGTACATTTATTTGCATCGCATTGTTTTATTGTAAGTTATGGAGTAGGATCTATTTAAGTGACTTAAATTTTTAATGCTGGAAAGGCTCTCTTTGGGGGTGGACGCCTAGGAAAGCGTGTTGTTCGGTGGTGATTATAATGTTGTGGTTGTGTTGTGGTTGTGTTGTGGTCGTGGTTATGGTTGTGTTTTCTTTGTGTTTGTGTTGTGGTTGTGTTGTGGTTGTGTTATGGTTGTGTTGTAGTTGTGTTGTGGTCGTGGTTATGGTTGTGTTTTCTTTGTGTTTGTGTTGTGGTTGTATTGTGGTTGTGTTATGGTTGTGTTGTGGTTGTGTTGTGGTCGTGGTTATGGTTGTGTTTTCTTTGTGTTTGTGTTGTGGTTGTGTTATGGTTGTGTTGTGGTTGTGTTATGGTTGTGTTGTGGCTGTGTTGTGGCTGTGTTTGGGCTGTGTTGTTGTTGTGTTGTGATTTTGTTGTGGTTGTGTTGTGGTTGTTTTGTGTTTGAGTTGTGTTGTGTTTGTGTTGTGTTTTTGTTGTGTTTGTGTTGTTCTAGTATCTTACAATAGTATGGTACTTCTAAAATTGAGCTGTGAGAGACCTATGAATTTTTAATGGTACTTAGAATCGTGGGTTAGGGTTTGGGTTAGGGTTAGGGTTAGGGTTAGGGTTAGGGTTAGGGTTAGGGTTAGGGTTAGGGTTAGGGCTAGGGTTAGGGTTAGGGTTTGGGTTTGGGTTTGGGTTGGGTTAGGGTTAGAATCATGGTTACTCGATACGGATGGAATATTAATTCATTTTGTCATTCCATGTTGGCGCTTTGAAAGTTATAGTAAAGAAATGACCAGACAATTGAAAATCGAATATTACATACATTTAGAAAAATAAATGAACTTGCTATCCTACTGGAAATGCATCTAGTTTTTCATATTAGTAGCATGCGAATGATTAAGTCTAAGCTATTAGTTGTATGTGGTTAATAAAACGTATACTATTCGTAGCGTGTGATTAATTAAATATATGATATAATAATAATATAATAATATAACCTTAATTATTTGTAGCGTATAATTAATTCATTCTCTTATATTTCACCCACTAGAAAGCTGATATACTTTAGCTGTTGGTATTTACCATCAACTAACCCTCGTTAGTGAAAACATAAATATTTAAAAACTAGTGCGCGACATAAGCGGTTTTTTTCTTCTATATTTTTTTTTTTATGTTTGGCTGATAAAGTAAGTTTTAAACAGCAAAAAAAAAAGGGAGGAGAGCCTAAGCGACTGATAAACTAACATCATCACTTTCATTACTGTTGTCAATTTTTCATCTCTCGTTTAAAACTGTTTGATGACTTTATGACTTGACCAAACTATGAGGTGCCACTGACGTCTGAATGTCAGGTGATCTCTTTGCTTTCAGAACCCTGACGTCATGTCGACGGGCTGTTGGCGGAACGCCGGGTCATGTGACAGTGTGACGTCATGCAGGGCCGTGTTCCGCTGTGAGAAAGCTGGTGATTACGTCATCCGGTGGCACTGCCCAGCAAGAGCTGACGATGATTTCAACAAGACCGGCACAGGTGACGTCATGTGCCCTGATCAGCTGCGTCACGTGACGGACTGTCCGCCTCCTGTCGTCTGCCCGTCACAGGGCCACGTCAACATTGTAAGCAAACGTGGCCTTGTATATCTTAGGTTCACGTGACACTAGTTGGGCTAGGTTCTTAATGAGACATATGTAGTCGATGTGATAGGGTCTTAATGTGACATTTTTGTCGGTGTGATAGTGTCTACATGGTATTTTATGTCTTTGTGAAAGGTTCACGTTCTTTATGATAGGTTCACGTGATGTATTTGTCGGATCTAGTGCCACTAACTAGGCGCCACTAAGTGCCACTTACTAAGTGCCACTTACTAAGTGCCACTAACTAGGCGCCACTGATTGAATGACACAATGAAGAAACTACTTTCTTTACCTCCATTTTCTCCATCCTTGTAAAATTACGCCCCCACCACCCCCACAATTTTTAAATCACCTTCTCTAACAAGTCAACCTATGAACAGACGAGTGACTTCTACACTGACGTCATCCTCGCCATAGCTGTGACGTCATTTGCAGTGTTGGCCCTCGCGCTCATCATCGCCTCCACCTACAAGTACTGGCGGATGAGGAGGTCAAGGTCAGTCAAACCATCTCCATCCATCAAACTACCATCTCCATCTATCAAAAACTACCATCTCTATCAAACTACCATCTCCATCTATCAAACTACCATCTCCATCTATCAAACTACCATCTCCATCTATCAAACTACCATTTCCATCTATCAAACTACCATCTCATCACGTGACCTCACGCCCCATTTTTCAGGAGACCTCAGGTCCCACCGAGGCAGTTCCTGATTCGTCCCCTCCCTGTGCGCTACCACAGCATGTGGGGGGCCGGGCAGCAGCAGTATGACGTCATCAAGCCCCACAACTCTCCAGTCTATGGATCTTCCTATCCTGATGTAAGCCCTGACATTTGCCCTTAAATCTGTCATAGCATTTGTTATGACATGTCATCTGGCAGTCTACCTGAAGTCCACCGACATCTAATGGTCTATTTAAGGGGTCTCCAAACTACGGCCCGCGGGCCGGATGCGGCCCGCGAAGTCATCTCATCCGGTCCTCGGAGATCTTTTAGTCCACGGAAAAAAATGTTTGTTGTAGGTGGCTGAGGAAAAATGCCACCCCAATGAGATGCCTGGAAGAAACTCTGCCCCCCGAACCAGAGGCGTAGCGATGGCGGGTAGTGGGGGACATATGTCCCCGGGCGCCGACCTTAGGGGCGCCAAAAAAGGGTTGTAAAAACAAATTAAAATGTCATTTTAGCAGCTTTTTTGCAGTTTGGGGGGGGGCCGCAAATCAAAAAATTGGTGGGGGGGGGGTGCACATTTAAAATTTGATCAAGAGGGGGACGCTAAATTGAAAGTTTGTCCCCGGGCGCCGGGAAGGGTCGCTACGCCTCTGCCCCGAACTTATATTTGATAGTTAATGCGGCCCTCGGGCTGAAAAGTTTGGAGACCCCTGGTCTATTTGAAATGGACTGGCATAAAGAGCACACTGACATCGACTATGCTAACGATATTGGCGATGCAATTTCTTATCTTTAGTATAATAGAACTTAACCTAAACGTTAACCTAAACGTTAACCTAAACGTCAACCTAAACGTTAACCTAAACGTCAACCTAAACCTTAACCTAAATGTAAGCCAACTAGGGGGGGGTCACTAAAATCTATCTACCCTTCCCTAGGCTTATCTAACTAGCTGTCCGGTCAGTGCAAGCCCGGCTAAACCCAGACTGGTTAATACCTTAACCTTAGTCTAAATTAAAAACAAAAACACTTTTAACAATTAATCAAATTTATTACATGGAACCAATCAAGATAAGAAAGATAAAAAACTACAGAATACACAAAACACGACTAAACAAAACTCAACGGGACAAAACAATATATACAAAACAAACTTTTTACACCAAACAAAACACCCAGCCAAGTTGCCCAAGCCACCTCACTGGAAGGGGGGGGGGAGAGAAAAAGAAAAGGAAAACATAAGAAAAATGCATGGAAAAATATATACATCAATATATACATATGTTTAAATACTACTAACTTCTACTAAAGATATCTAAAGCCTCGAGTAAAACTAATCCCTACTATTACAATTCTAAAAGCAATTGTCAAAAGCACAACTAACCACTGTCTAACTAAGAACTAGCATCATAAAAATAACGTGTAAAACAAATTAATTGTAGAACAAATCTTTCCTACACAAGGAGCAGCCCGAAGCCATTGGTCTACCTATACAACACTCATATTGATAACATTGAAGTTAACACACTCCGCTAGGGCCCCAATGAAGGCCGACACCAAGCAAGCGATACTCAACATGACGTTGCACGAAACAGCACACACATTAATTTTTAACAACCTAAAACTCGAGGCAACTAAAATATACTCATTACTGTCTAAAACAACCGACTATTGACTAAGCCAATCTTAGTCATCGTGGGGACCCACAATAACAACATCATAATAAAGTAAAACAAATAAATGCACACACGCATTCGCACCAGTTTAGGAAACACTCCTAAACACACTGACCTAAACCACGTGGTCGGAAACACACGCCAAGGGTTTAGAAAATACAAAAATACATTTCAAATCTTTCAAAATAACACACCACGTGCATACCAGACATGCCGATGCCCACTATCTCGTTTTAGACGAAAAAGAAATAAAACGAGAACACATCGGCAGTCGCATTCATACAAATCACATAAAGATAAAATATAAAAAAACAAATACCTCCAACGCACGAAGCGCGACCACAGACAACTGACCTGACCTACATTCTTGCGGTCAAAAAGAAAGAAAATTACCCGCGTGGTCAGTTTATATACTGACCGCTTCGAGCGGAAGGGGAAACCCCGTAGCCGCTGTCCAGTGGACCATCCACTCACAGATTCGCACCAAATAAAATAATACAAAATAAATAATCCATTCACCTGCTCACAGAAACGTTGACCTAAACGTTAACCTAAACGTTAACCTAAATGTTAACCTAAACGTTAACCTAAACATTAACCTAAACGTCAACGTCAACCTAAACCTTAAACTAAACGTTAACCTAAACGTCAACCTAAACCTTAACCTAAACCTTAAACTAAACGTTAACCTAAACCTTAAACTAAACGTTAACCTAAACGTCAACCTAAACCTTAACCTAAACGTTAACCTAAACCTTAAACTAAACGTTGACCTAAACGTTAACCTAAACGTTAACCTAAATGTTAACCTAAACGTTAACTTAAACGTTAACCTAAAGTTTAACCCTAACTCTTGTTTTCGCAGATTTACTTTTCCAGACCATACGAGCATCTGCTGACGTCATCCGAGGATTCGTTCGATAAGCATATGGGACCCTACACCCGGCGACATAGCGGCCAAGGTCATGTGCGACATAGCGGTCAAGGCCACTTGGGTGCCGGCAACAAAACTAAAACAGACCCGTCTATCGTAACCGGCAGTTTCGTTTTTCACCAGCCCGGACTTGGCGGGAAAAAAACGGACGGATGGTCGTACCCAGACGGTAGCGGGGTGGGTACCGAGAGCGGCGAGTCGTACCACATCTACCGCGGCAATCTAGGCCAGCAGCCGCTTACCAGCTCACCTCGCTGCCCAGGCCGCAGGGACAAGTGCTGCTCTGACCTTCACCTTGACTTCTCGTGCAACCCTCGTATCTCGTCCATATCTATCCCAACCTACGGACCGCAACCCGCTCACCAGAGGCGGGACCTGCGTGAGGAGAAAACAGAAAACTTTCTCAACCAAACTCTGGCGGCCAGCAGCAGACGGGCGTCACGTGACTCGCCTTACGGTCACACGGACACCCCACGGGCCGGCTACATCCGGTCCTGTCATAGCGGCCACACCCAGGCATTTGTCAGGGTGGGGCTCAACATGTGCCGCCACGCCAGACGGCCAAGCTCTGAGCTTGACGAGCTCAGCTACGACAGTTTCCTTAACGACCACCTACGGGAGCTGGCCGCTCAGGGCGCGGCGTCCAGCAGCACCCTGGATGTTGGGTTTAGGCACAAAATGTCCAGCCCATCGTCCCATTCTCGCTACTAGCCTATTGTTTTACTACCTTGGCTGACCTATTGTTGTCCATTTCTCTACTGACCTATTGTTGCCCATTCCTCTACTGACCTATTGTTGCTTATTCCATTACTGACCTATTGTTGCCCATTCCTCTACTGACCTATTGTTGCTTATTCCATTACTGACCTATTGTTGTCCATTTCTCTACTGACCTATTGTTGCCCATTCCTCTACTGACCTATTGTTGCTTATTCCATTACTGACCTATTGTTGCCCATTCCTCTACTGACCTATTGTTGCCCATTCCTCTACTGACCTATTGTATACCATATTCACGTTGACAAGTCGTGTTACAGTCTATTAATAGATTCTAATATTTATTCTTGTAACAGCGAAAGTTACATTTCTGGTATACATCGACAAATTAGGGGCTAACTAAAATGAACACATTTGAACAAGTCTAACATTTTGTGACACGTAATTTGTCTGGGCGCTATCATAGAATAAACTATTGAATAGTTTGAATCCATGCAGCATTTTGAAAATGAATCAACGGCTGAATGTCATTTCATAATTTCACTGATGAAATTAGACACCATCTCTTTGTTGTTGATTCGATTCCCACTCCAATATTCAGGCTCGGGCAACGCTCAACTACAGGGCAGACACTGGGAGCAGGGCAACGCTCAACTACAGAGCAGACACTGGGAGCAGGGCAACGCTCAACTACAGGGCAGACACTGGGAGCAGGACAACGCTCAACTACAGGGCAGACATTAGGAGCAGGGCAACGCTCAACTACAGGGCAGACACTAGGAGCAGGGCAACGCTCAACTACAGGGCAGACACTAGGAGCAGGGCAACGCTCAACTACAGGGCAGACACTGGGAGCAGGGTGTGAGGGTTGATGAATATCCAAGAAATGCACAACACAATTACAGTTAGATATCACAGTCCTTTATTTCTCTATCCTTCAGTCACCAAATCAACCTGCCTTCTTTCGTGCCCAACCTTCAACTGCCGTCCGCATTCATCCCTACACACCACCTTTCTCCCGCTCACAACACAGCCACCGTCACCCGACCAGTCGCTTCCCTTGTACCCTCGTTCACTCCGTACAACAACATACACGTCAACACACCCGGCCTCGCGTCTCACACATGCTACATACACACACGCAGTGACCCGTTCCACGTATTCACCTTTCATACACATTACATCACCACATACCCTCCATCTGTCCCTAGCTGATGCAATCAGCGGATTTAACAAAAAAATGTAAGAAAACCAATAACTCAACACAATATGTATATATACAAAACTACGATGTTAACAGTTCCAATGGGACTGTTAAGTGGTCCCTCCAAAGACTTTCCGTAAGTCTGTAGTACACAGCATAGACGCACCATATCAGACTTGTAGCCTACTCTGTAAAATACATCTTGTACAAAAACATGGCATCATGTACATATTACATTCCAGAAAATAGCTACATAGTAACCCTGTATAGAACATTTGAAATAGGTTTAAAAATCACACACAAACGACAACCGATCGTTGACTCGGCGCCACACGTAGCATACTTCTGTTGGGTACAATCCACCTTCAGTCTCTGCAAGAACATCATCATTTACATTTCTCGTATATAACAATTAACAATATACATACATACGACAAAAAAACCTTAACAAAAAGGATACCGGTACTTGTGTTAAACTTTGGATACGACGTCTATTTTCCTCTCCTTCGGTACAACTTGTCGAAAGACGCCATGCTACATACTGTATATTGTATAACAAATGTCTTACACGTGTGTTGTCTCACCGCCGTCTTGTTGTGTGCTCCGTCCCAGACTGTGACCAGATCAAATGTCACCTTACCGCTGAATTAGAATGATAGTTTTGTGGTATGGTCTCTCTCTCGATATCATTCCCGATGATTACGTCGAATGATCCCCGTTCGAATACTAAGGCTCGTACTTGTCCCGTCACATACGGTGATTTAATGTTTATCAGTGCTATCGGTAGGCGTATGACCGTGCCACCAAACACCTCTACCATTTTCCATTCACCCGTGTATTGGTGCTGTTCGACGTAGCTACTTTTTACAGCAATAGTAGAGCACCCCGTGTCTCTCACCGCCTCTACCGTATGAGCTCCCACATTCACCATAAGTGTTGGTATTTTCGGTGTGATCTGTAGTAACGGTGCTTGTTCTACTCCCTCATTATCTGAGCTACTGTTGTGGCCGTTGTAATCATTGTTATGATTTCCGTCCTGCCGCGGTCTATGTTGTTGGCTGTAATAACTGTGTGCTGCATGAGTGTTTGTGTCTCTGGGGTATTCCTGACCCGCAGCCTGGTTGTTGCCCCCAACATTTGAATGTCTATGCGGACAGTTTCTTATCATGTGACCCGGTTGTTGGCAGTTGAAACACCTCCCAACGTATCTTGTGCCGTTGGTTTGTGTTCCATATCTCCTTGGCCGTCGATTGTCATCTCTGTAGTTTCCTGCCCCTAGGCCAACGTACTCCGCTGTACCGCCTGTCGCCTTCGCATAGAAGATTGATTCATACTCTGATTCTTTGTTAGCTATTGGTCTATCCGTGTGTGCAATGATGTACTTTTGGCAGTGGTCAGTAAGTTCTTTTAGAGTGGTGGGCTTTCTTTCCTGTATGTAACTTAGTAGCTGCTTATCTACTGAATTCAATACTTTGTCTATCAAAATGAATTCAATTATATTCTCAACTTTCATCTCCACTCTAGCCGTTTCTAGCCACTTCATAAACGTGGTTTTTAGATCCAGCACGTAGTTTTTGAAGTCCTCAGCTTTAGATGGTAGTCTGTTGTGGAATTTTTTTCTATACGAGTCTTCATTATGTAAGAAGAACTCAAGGAGGGTTTCCTTTAATATTCTGTAGTCCTTCATGTCATCCTCACTCAGGCCCTGACATGCATCCAATGCCTTCCCTCCTATTAAGACAAGGAGTTGAGTTCCCCACTGCGTATCGCTCAAGCTTGTCGTCCTCGCCACTGTCTCGAATCTCCTGATATACGCATCTATGTTTTCCGAATCTTCTTGAAATTTCGGCAACTTTGATAGGACGTTTTGATGGTTCATATCTATGTGTGGTATGTTTTTCATACCTTCATTCTTCATTCGTGCCAGTTCGAATTCCTGCCTTTCTTTTTCGATCGCTGCTTCCGCCTTCATTCTTTCCACCTCTATTCTCGCTTCTGTCTCCATCTTTTCTCTTTCCCTCCTGCACCATCTGTCCCTCCTTTCTTCACTCTCATTCATTCTTTTCTCCACCCACTCGTCCAACTTCTCTCCCTCGTATCCGTTGCTTTTGCCCAGTCTATACATCTCTGACAAACTCATTGGTTCCTCCATAATTCAACTAATTCAAAACTCAAAAAGTTGTCACTTACAGGAGATCTGTTCTATTCCCCAATTGTGGGTCCCGCAGTTCCACCAAGTGTGTGAGGGTTGATGAATATCCAAGAAATGCACAACACAATTACAGTTAGATATCACAGTCCTTTATTTCTCTATCCTTCAGTCACCAAATCAACCTGCCTTCTTTCGTGCCCAACCTTCAACTGCCGTCCGCATTCATCCCTACACACCACCTTTCTCCCGCTCACAACACAGCCACCGTCACCCGACCAGTCGCTTCCCTTGTACCCTCGTTCACTCCGTACAACAACATACACGTCAACACACCCGGCCTCGCGTCTCACACATGCTACATACACACACGCAGTGACCCGTTCCACGTATTCACCTTTCATACACATTACATCACCACACAGGGCAACGCTCAACTACAGGGCAGACACTAGGAGCAAGATGGATAGAGCATAACCGAGATTTTTAACACTACACTGTACAATGAATTGTAGTTAAAAGTCACAGGAAAAGTCACAAATGTGTATTTGCATGGAATTTGTTAACAATTTTATGTTTTCACAAAGTGCATATCAACATACGATTACTTAAATCTAATGTAAACATTTTATGTGTGCGTAGGTTGTATCTGTATGGTACCTCGCGTACAAATATTTAGTATAAAGTATGTAGGCTTTAATTCCGGTATAGAATAGAATTAATTAGAATGTCCCAGCCTACTAAATACCAGGTTTGTAACGAACACATACACAAAATAATAATGACTGGATGATGTACTTTATACTTGATGGAAAGAGAGACGCCTTCGCCCTCACCTCATCGCTTCAGCACACAAAAAGACAGAATCAACAAGCCGGAAATCGACTTTCACACACCTCACACACTACACGTAAACAAATAGTCCCTAATTCACAGATAACAAACCAAACGCCACGAAACATGCAACAGAATTATATAAAAAGACACTTAATATAAACCTTGACAACAATATAAACGAAATATATACAAACTAGCTATAAACAGGGACATAAACATTGAGACAGTCGGCGCCATAATACGGGACTACAACCCTGAAAACTGCGAACAATTTACGACATGAAACGAAACGATACATTCGCCTTCTAAGTTACAAATAATAATAATACACTGCAGCCGCTCACATACACGCCCCTTAAAGCTTGCGGTCACCGCAAGCTAACAAACTTTAAAAAAATCAGCCCACAGGGCACAATCATAAATGTTACAAAAAAACAAAATTTTGCAAAAAAATCAGTCCACAGGGCGCAATCATAAGTCTAGCCTACTGGGGATTCTGCGCTCCCTGACCGACCTACGCAGAGGTATGCCAGGTGCTGTGGGGTTACCGGCTGCTCTGGTCCCCGGTAATTGGACCTTATAAACTATGTGGTTGTAGCCTGGAGCAGCCGGCGGTACAACTTTGACCGGCCTTGGGGAGGGCGGTTGAGCCCTGGGAGGCACATATCTCCTAATCTGGGTTCTGGCAACCCGGCGGGTGCCAGAAGGGCCATCTTTCTTTTTAATGGCGTAACACCCGCCGGTGATCGGAGGTACTTCGACCACGACATAAACTGTCGGGCCGTACAGATCAGCCATTTTGTGCCTGCCCAGGGGGTGCTGCCTTAACAGGACCAGGTCGCCTATAGTCAGTTCCGCGGCTGGCCTGTTGTTGACCTGTCTGTCCCTCTTGGTGGCCTCTATTTGCAGCCTCTCCTGTGCTAGTTTGTGCTGGCTGGCCAGTCGTGTTATGTGTCCCTGGAGGTAATCTCCAGCACCACCGCTGTTTGCCGGAGGGGCTTGATTTAAAAATAGGTCCAAGGGGATGGCTGCCTCCCGCCCAAACAAAAGCTGGAATGGGGAGAAACCTGTTGACGAGTGCGGGGTTGTGTTGTAGAGGAAGACCAGCTCGGTCAGGTACCGAGGCCAGTCCTTTTTCTTGTCAACAGGTAGGGTCCGAAGCAGATCGTGTAGGGTCCGGTTGAACCTCTCTGCTTGACCGTTACCTTGGGGTGGTATGCCGTTGTTCGGGACCTCTGTATCCCATAATGGTCGCACAGTTCGTGTATTACGGCTGCCCCAAAGCATTTGCCCTGGTCCGAGTGTAGTCGCCTGGGGACACCGTAGTGAACTATCCAGTTCTGCACCAGGGCCTTCGCCACGGTTTTGGCAGTCTGGTCCTTCGTCGGTACAGCAACAGTTCACTTGGTGAAAACATCGATGAGAATCAATACATCCTCCGTACCGTCTGCCGCTTTGTCCATCAGGGTGAAGTCGACTGCCACAACCTCTAGGGGCATGGTGGCCAAAAGATGACCTTTTGGCTGGTGCACCTTCAGACCGGTCATTTTCGCGTGCTGGCAGCGGTCACATGCCTGGCAGTACTGGCGTATATCTGCCTCCATCCCCGGCCAGTAGCATCGTTGCCGTAACAGCTGCAGGCAGCGGTCTGGTCCTTGGTGG